GTCAGGGTCCTCAAACATGCGAGACAGCGTCCGGTTTCGTGTTCTTAGAGCCAGGTCGATACGTGATGTGGAAGGTAAACCGGGAAAAGAAAAGAGCCCATCTTGCCTGGCGCGGCTTCAGTCGTCTTGCCGTCCTCAAGTACTCTAGGTTTTTGTGGTCGGTAAATATCAGGATGGGGTGTGTGGCTCCTTCCAGCAGGTACCGCTATTCTTCCAGGGCGGTTTTTATGGCCAGAAGCTCCCGATCTCCGATATCATAGTTTTCGCTCTGCAGGTGTCAATTTCCTGGAGAAGAACGCTACAGGATGCAGTAGCTCCTTGGTGCCCTTCCTTTGGGACAGGACCGCTCTCACCGCGTTTTCAGAGGCGTCCACTTCCAAAACGTATGGGAGAGAAGAATCCGGGTGGCTGAGAATCGGAGCAGAGGTAAATAGTTTCTTGAGCATTTCAAAGGCAGTTTGTGCTTCGGGAGACCACTTAAAGCGGATCCCCTGTTTAGTCAATTGCGTGATTGGGGAGACCAGACCGGAGAAGTTCCTGATAAGCTTTCTATAAAAGTTCGCAAACCCGATAAAACGCTGTATGCCCTTCTTATCGGTGGGTATCGGCCAATCCAGGATTGCCGTGACTTTCCGGGGGTCCATCGCAACCCCCGCGGGGGAGAGAACCAGTCCCAGGAACGTGATCTTATGCTGTTCGAAACAGCATTTGTCTGCTTTAGCGTAAAGCCCGTGTTGGCGTAAACGTTCCAACACCCGCATCACGTGATTTCGATGAACCTCCAGTGAGGGAGAGAAGATTAAGATGTCGTCCAGATAGACAACCACGAAGACATCAAGGAAATCACAAAACGCGTCATTTATAAAATGTTGGAAGGTGGCTGGAGCGTTACAGAGCCCGAACGGCATGACCAGGTATTCATAGTGACCGAATCGCGTACTGAAAGCCGTTTTTTTTCCATTCATCACCTTCCCTGATACGAACTAGATTGTAGCCCCCGGTAAGCCTAGTTTAGTGAAAATCATAGCGGACCTTAATCTCTGGAGGAGCTCGGGAACCAGGGGTAAAGGATAGCTTTTTTTTTTACCGTGATCCTATTCAGGTCGTGGTAGTCTATGCAGGGCCGCAGTGATTTGTCCTTTTTCTCCACAAAGAATAACCCGGCCCCGGCGGGGGACGTGGAAGGACGAATAAACCCCTTCCGGAGATTTTCGGCGATATACTCACTCAGTACTCCTGACTCAAGCTCCGACAAAGGGAAAATACGGCCGAACGAAATTTCAGATCCGGGTAGGAGGTCTATGGGACAGTCGTATGATCAGTGTGGGGGGAGTGTGTCTGCCCCTCGCTTACTAAACACGTCTAGAAAATCGTGATAAACCGGGGGAATAACCTGGGACAGGTCTGTATCACCATCTATGCATAGGAGTAATTGGGGGGCCACGGACCCTGAGACGTGGCAATGTTTCTGACAATATGAGGACCGAAACTGAACAGTTCCCTTCTCCCAATCAATCTGGGGATTATGGGCCCGCAGCCAAGGAAGCCCCAGAATGACTGGGAGAAGGGGGGACGCGATGGCATCCAGACGGAGGAACTCTTGGTGATGGTCAGCCATGGAGGTGAAAATAGGGGGTGTCTCCTGATCCACCACTCCCGATTTTAAGCTAGACCCGTCTGCCAAGAAGATGTTTAGTCCCCTTTCCTTGGTCTGGAGAGGGATCCTTTGCTGGTGAGCAAAAGTGAGATCGATAAAACCGCTACATGCCCTCGAATCAATGATAGCTGTCACCGTCAAGGTTCTTCCGGGGAGCTGTAAAGACACAGGTATTGCCAGGTAACTTGACTGGTCACCCCTTTCTGCAGGTAAAGGAAAAAAACTGGAAGTGGATTTACACATTTTTGCAGGACAGGAGCGCACCCGGTGGCCAGTCTCGCAGTACAGGCAGAGGTTCTGTGATCGTCTCCTCTGGCGTTCTTCGGCCGATAACGTGGACCGGGCCAGTCCCCAGTTGCATGGGTTCCGAGGTGTCCCCAGGTTCCGAGCTCCGGGAAGTGCTTCCTGGGGGCGGGGCTGCTCCCCTCGATGGAAACCATGCTGCCCTTTTGACCCTGGCTGCTCCGTTCAAGCCTGCGTTCTCTCAGTCTGCGGTCAATCTGAATGGCCAGCTCGATTAGTTTCTCTAGGGAGTCAGGTAGGCCTACTCGTGCTAACTCGTCTTTGAGTGACTCAGCCCGATGCAAAATTGGTGACATAATGCCGCATCATTCCATCGGGTGTCCCCCATCCAGCGCCTGAATTCAGACGCGTACTCCTCGGCTGCCCGGCGACCCTGCCGCCGAGAGTACAGGGTAGTCTCTGCGGAAGCCGCTCGCTGAGGGTCATCATATAAAATAGCCATGGCTCTAAAAAATTTAGTCACGGAATCAAGATGGGGGTCGTGATTCTCCATCAGACGATGAGCCCAATCCTGGGGCTCATTCTGAAGGAGAGAGACTATAAATCCCACCTTGACGGTCTCGGTGGTGAACGTGCGGGGCTGTAAATCAAAACACAGGATGCACGCATTCCGGAAGGCCCTGAAGCGGCTTCGGTCTCCACGGAAGTGTTCCGGCAGGGGATCGCGGGGTTCGGGAGTAAGGGGTGCAGCTACTGCTCCGGGAGCTGGGGTAGCAGGTGATTCCCCAGAAGGTGCCGCGGTAGTCGGGCTCTGTGCAGGGGATGTAAGGATTGCTAACGTCTCCATGCGGTCCTCAAGATGGGTGTAACGATTATGTAAAGTCTGGACGGCCTGAGTTAGAGTTGCCAGATGCTGGCAAATATCCTCCATGGTGGCCGGTTCTCTTCCTGGCTCTGTCATGGCTGCAAGGTACTGTTACGGATCCGCCAGGTGGTGCCTCTGGCAGCCCACTGGGCAGGATTACCCGAAGCGTGTAGTCTAAGTCCCGGTCTGCGTTTTCACCAGGGCCCCTGATGGTGGGGATGGACTTGGAGCAGAACCAGGACCAGGTCACGACCTCCGAGCAATCCCACCAGTGGCAGAGGGAACCACCGGGGATGTATGTACTCCAGAAGAGAGCCAGATGTGAGGAGGCCGGCGGGACCAGGCAGGATAAACAGGCGGTTGTAACCGTGGGGGACGGCGAGGTACAGAGACGGCAGGCAGAAAGTAGTCAGGTCACACGCAGGGTCAGTAATGTAGTCAGTCCGCAGAATTGTCAAACAAGCCGGGGGTCAGGATAGGAGAAGGCAGCGTAGTCAGGGGCAATCCGGGTCAACTCAGGAGAAGGCAACGTAGTCAGGGGCAATCCGGGTTAGAGCTGGAGCAGGCAGAGAGGTCAAACAATCCGGGTCAAAATCACAGGGCACAGGAACTCAGGTTGCAGATCAGACCTTGCGGCAACCTGTGACAGTGGAGGGCATCTTTAAATACCGCGCCCTGCACTGTCATTGGCCGCCCAGGATGCGCCCCTGGCTGTCATTGGCTGACCAGGGCGCGCCCGAGGCTCCTACTGCGCATGCGCGGGCTCCTGTCAGCCGCGGCCTGCCGGGACCTGGTGCTTGCATCCCGGCGTGAACTGCCGCTAGTGCGCGTGTGCCGGGGAAGGCGCCGCGACGGTCCCTGACAACGAGGTGGAGCTGCAGGGCAGGATGAGCCTCAGTCAAGGTTTTGATTGAGATCGTGCAGATTACAAGGACTGTAGCTGTTGTTGGGTAGCCCTAGCAACCTTATGGTATCGAACAATATTTGAGATCTAGGAACCACAAAATACTGTCTTAAAGGCTTCCCACTGATATTCCATTTCAGAGAAGTGCTCATTGGTAGCCCAGTAGTTAATCATGTCAGTACGAATGGGTTCCTGAAATTCAAGCATGGAGATCCAGAGAGGACTGAGCCTCCAGGACCGAAAGGCAGGCCTATAACCCAAGTGCAACTCCACCCGCAGCGGAGAGTGATCTGAAACAGTTTGGGGAACAAATGAAATAGAGAGTACCCAGGGTAGTACTATAGTGGACGCCAGAGCTTAGTCTAGCCTGGAAAGAGCATGATATGATTTCGATTGACAAGAATATATCCTGGCCGTAGGAATTTTCCATTGCCAAATATCAACATAATGATAGGAGTCACACCACTGTCGAAACAATCTGGAGTCATAGGAGAGAGGCCTCAACCGGTCCAATGTTGGATCAAGGACCGAGGTTGAAGTCTCCCATAATAATAGTAGCTAGACAAGGCAAGGTAGATACAGACTCTCAGTTCAGTAAATATTGCAGCTGTGAGTGCGGGGGGGAGTAGACCGCTACCAGAATTAGTGGAACGCCATATATTGTGCATAGTATAAGGACATATTGACCTTTAGGGTCAAGAATTACCCTATCTCCGGAAAATGGAAGACCCTTACGAATCAATACAGATACCCCTCGGCATAATTAGAATAGGTAGAGTGGTATCCATGTAATACCCAATGTTACTTAAGGGATAGAATCTTGGATTCCAATAAGTGAGTGTCCTGGATGCATAGTACGTGGGGATTGTGGGAATTAAAGGGGCTCAAAGACAGAGGCCCTTTTAAATTTAGAGTTCAGTCCACGGACATTCTAGGACAAGAACGCTACAGAAGACATTGACTAAATCTGAGACAGATTAACCTCCCTGGCGGTATGATTATTTCAGATTTTTGGTGCTGAAAGCGGTACCATTATTTTGCATGGAAATATGTCGTTTTTTCATTCTAGGCCTGTCATTTTTAGGAATAACTCACTGAAATCTGTCCGAACAAGAGTCTAGTAAACATTCCGGGTATGACAAAACTTGAAACACGAAATCATAAATTATAATTTAATAAATAATCAGAAAAAATATAATAAATTTAATTCAATAATATAATCAAACCAAAAACACTGAAATTTGAAATATAGCGCCTAGTTCGCACATCGCTGAGCAAAGTCGCAAAATCGTTTTCAGTGTCTGATGACGAATTTCCCCACAAATCATCACTCAGTTCTGCAAGTGGTTCTGATTTACTATCGCTGTTCTCTAGCTGGTCTAAAACCGCTTTTGACATAAAGGGACACTTTTTGGACGCCATGGACTTCTCTAAGTTTCCAGGCATAAAGAACAGTAAAAATGCAGGCAGGGCACAGGACAAAGCAGTAGGGACAAAATGTATGTGAAATGCTTTGAAACAGCAATGTTTTACTATGTAATAATCGTTTTTAAAAAAAATGAAATTTTTTAAAACTTTCAAATTAGCCGCCGTCACAGGGACCAGAACACGGATGCCGACATCGGCCGGAGGAGATGGCCAGGGACGCTGCAGGGGACACATCGCTGGAGCGAAGGACAAAGTAAGCGCTGCAGTGAATCCCTGAGCAACGCCGCATGGTAAGCCCGAGTGTAGCTCGGGGTTACCGCTTTTGGTACTGAAACTCTACCCCGAGCTACACTCGGGAATACCGCCAGGGAGGTTAAGTAGGTGGGGGCAGCAACAGGGCCCAAGGATCCGGCCACAGGCCCCATCATGACTGCAGTACTACTGAGGGGAGATGGCGCACAAAAACACAAAACAAACACACAAAACAGCCGCAACACACACAAACCAACAAAAGGCAAAATTGTAAAGAACAAAGCCCCTGCCCATCTCCAGTGAAAAGGAGTGAGCTTTATCCCAAAACTTAGGTCACTTGTGGGAAACATGACCTGAAGTCCCAAAGCAGTCCGATGTTCAGAAAAAGAAACAGTAGAACAGGCATACAAACATAGAACACTGTAGTAGCAGACAACCAGAAGGGTAGAAATCCTCCTTGCAGGGTGATTGATAATGAACACCCTTCTGAAAGATAGGGAAAAGCTTGTTCATAGGCACGATGAATCTTTGGCAAAACCATCAAGGCACTGGGGGGTTGGAAGGAGATCTTGCTGGATGCGGCAGGGACTCAAACCATGGCAGGACCATATCAGTGGACTGGAAGAAGTGCACTTGACCTTGGTGTACCACACGTAGAGTAGCAGGGAAGAGCATAAGTATTTCACCCCTTTTCTCATGGAGCTTCTGCTTGACATGTTGGTATTTGGCCCTGAGGTTGTGGACCGCAGTAGAATAATCAGGGAAGAGGGATACCACCCACGTTGTTGATGCGAAGGCTCCCTTTCAGGCGAGCAGAGCGAAGATTCAAGTCCCTGTAGTTTTAGAAGGTGAATCACTATGGTGCGAGGGAGACTACCCTCAGGTAGAGGCATACCTTGGACTCTGTGGGCTTTTTCAATCACAAAGCAGGTGGACAAGCAGTTACGACCAAATTCCTGCTCCAGCCAGCTCTCCAGTAAGGCCTCAGGATCGGACCCTCCCACTGTTTCAGGCAGATCCATCAACCGCAAGTTGTTTCTGCAGTTCCACCTCATCTTCCAGAGCTTTAACTTTACCACCGCATGAATTAACTTTGGGCAGAAGAGGGTTGAGCACATCCTCCAAATCACTAATGCGCCTTTCAGTAGCTGACACCCGCTCTCTCGAACTTTATGCATGTCCTGACACATGATGGTGAAATCAAGTTTGAGTTCCTTCACCCTCCCTATCAGATCAGAGTGATTTTCCTTGATAGTAGTAAGGACATCCAAGTGGGGGAGGGGCCTGACAGGACGCACAGGCTAGGGGCTCCTGATCCCCACCGAAGATTATGCATAAGTATATTTGACCGTCTGCAGCCACCCTGCCCTACCTTGTCCTGCCATTTTTCAGTGTGTCCCTGGTCCACTGTGGAGGCGGTGTGTCCCTGGAGGGAGTGCAGAGCCTGTGCCCCCCCGGTCGGTTGGGCGGAGAGAGCCCGTGCAGTGGGGCGGTGAATGCTAGGAGCGTTCATGTGACTCCTCTCCTCTCTCTTGCAGCGGCGTCTCACTGGATTCCCCGCCGCTGCAAGAGAGGAGCCGACATACGCTGGAGCAGCTACATCCACGGAGGGTGACACAGCCCTCCCTGTATGTGCGGCCACCTCAGCAACCCTGACAGGTGGATTACCAGCGGGAGTGGAGGACGGAGAGGGATCGAGCTGTCCTACCTCCTGGGAGGCTGGTGGCAGTGGTGAGTTACCGCAGAAGCGGCGTGTCCATATAAATTATATTGTACCTAAGGGGAGAATGCTAGTGGACTAAAACTCGCATCTTTTTTGGTGGTTGGGGAGAGAAAGTTAAAACAAGGGTCACCCAGTAGAGTCAGAAGAAAATGAGAGGGGGAAAGCTCTGTTTGTCAAGGTCCTACTTTTTCCCAGAGGTTATGCTGCTCCATGTGCTGGCATCCATCTTGGGTTTCTGCAGAGCATGGTGGGAGTCTTTTATGCCTTCAGGCCTCTGCGGTCCATCCCCCAGAGGGGTGTGGTTGATCACATATAAGCCTGTTGTCCGCACCTGCTCTTTGCATTCGTGTCTTGTATGTTCGTGTTGCAACAAGCTCTGTTTTTCTACTCTCGTGGCTCTCCTGGAAACTAACTCGGCTTTTGACTAGACTATTCTCTGCGTTATCCATTTATCTGACCTCCCGCTGCTGAACCCGGCTTGTGACCTGTTATTCTTGCCTACCGTTCTGCACTGTCTGTCCTGTTATCGACCCGGCCTGCACGACTACGCTTCTGTCTTATCTGGTTCCTACCAGCTATACGCCATTGGCGGTGGCCATTACTGCAGCTAGGGTGTCTCGGGGGCCGTGACCTGGTCCCTGGCTGCGTCAAGTCCATCCCCACCATCAGGGGCCCTGGTGAAGGGCAGCCTGGGACTTAGGCTCCACACCCTGAGGGACTCCGGTCTGTGGGTGGTTGATGCATCCGAGACGGGAGTAGGCGCTCTCCTGTCTCAGCGTCGGTCGCCCGAAGGACCCCTACTTCCCTGTGGGTTCTACTCCAGGAAGCTTTCCTCTGCAGAATGCAACTACCAGATTGGAGATAGGGAGTTGTTGGCCATCATTCTGGCTCTCAAGGAATGGAGGCACCAGCTTGAGGGCTCCGCGGTTCCGGTCCTCATTCTTACCAATCACAAGAACCTGATGTATCTTTCGGAGGCCAGGAGATTGACGCCCCGTCAGGCCAGATGGGCCTTGTTCTTGTCACATTTCAACTATGTGGTTTCCTATTTGCCTGGTTCCAAGAATTTCAGGGCTCATGCATTGTCATGGCAATACTCTGAGCCAACCTCGGTCATACCTCCGGATCAGATCCTGGCTGCCATTCGCACCAGTCTGACTTCTCCCCTTGGGGAGCAGATTTTGGCGGCTCAAACTGACGCTCCCCCCGAGAGACCGGATGGTAGATGTTTCATACCTGAGGGATTGCGCACCCGCCTGCTGCGTACCTACCATAACTCCAAGACTGCCGGGCACCCGGGGAGGAACCAGTTGTCCTAGGTCGTCTCTCGTTTATTCTGGTGGCCAACTCTCCGTGCCGATATCGCCTCTTATGTAGCGGCATGTTCGATCTGTGCCCAGAATAAATCTCTACGACATCTTCCATTGGGCCTTCTGCAACCCATTCCCAATGGGGAGCGTCCTTGGTCACACCTGGGCATGGATTTTATTGTAGACCTCCCTGTGTCTCGGGGTCATACAGTTATTCTCATGGTCGTCGATCGTTTTTCCAAAATGTGCCATTGTGTTCCGCTCAAGAAATTACGAACAGCGCAAGAACTGGCCACGGTTTTTGCCAGGGAGATTTTTCGCCTGCATGGGTTGCCCAGGGTGATTGTCTCGGACCGCGGGAGTCAGTTCGTGTCCAGGTTCTGGCACGCCTTCTGCTCCCAGTTGGGTATCGGGCTCTCCTTCTCTTCGGCCTACCACCCGCAGTCCAATGGGGCTGCAGAGCGTTCCAACTAGGCCCTGGAACAGTTCTTTCGCTGCTATATCTCGGACCATCAGGACGATTGGGCCGATCTCCTGCCATGGGCGGAGTTTTCCAGGAACTTGGCTGTCAACTCCTCCTCCGGGATGTCTTCCTTCATGGCCAACTATGGGTTCCAACCTGCGGTAGTACCTGAGAGGCTCTCGCCACAGGACATTCCGGCTGTGGAGAACCATCTTGCTGCCCTGCGTTCTTCATGGGGGCAGATCCAGAAGTCCTTGAAGGACTTAGCACGGCGCCAGAAGTTCCAGGCTGATCGCAGACGGCTGCCCGCTCCTTCATACCAGGTCGGAGATCGGGTGTGGTTGTTTACTTGCAACCTCAATTTTCAGGTGCCCGCACCCAAACTGGTCCCCCGTTTTGTTGGCCCTTTTCGCATCTTCCGCAAGGTGAATCCGGTTGCCTACGCCCTTGCCCTTCCTCCTTGGATGCAAATCTCCATTGTCTTCCATGTATCCCTGTTGAAGCCTCTGGTCTGCAATCGCTTCACTGCCTCGGCCCCGTCCCATCCGGGTTGACGGTCATGAGGAGTATGAGGTGAGCCGGATCCTGGACTCTCGATTGGTGCGTGGTCGGGTGCAGTTCCTGGTTCATTGGCGCAGTTATGGTCCCGAGGAGCGTTCCTGGGTTCCTTCCGCAGATGTTCATGCTCCTGCCCTCCTCCGCACTTTTCATGCCCGCTTTCCTCAGAAGCCTTTTGTTGAGCCGTGGAGGGGGAGGGGTCCTTGAGGAGGAGGTACTGTCAAGGTCCTACCTTTTCCCAGAGGTTATGCTGCTCCATGTGCTGGCATCCATCTTGGGTTTCTGCAGAGCATGGTGGGAGTCTTTTATGCCTTCAGGCCTCTGCGGTCCATACCCCAGAGGGGTGTGGTTGATCACATATAAGCCTGTTGTCCGCACCTGCTCTTTGCATTCGTGTCTTGTATGTTCGTGTTGCAACAAGCTTGTTTCTACTCTCGTGGCTCTCCTGGAAACTAACTCGGCTTTTGACTAGACTATTCTCTGCGTTATCCATTTATCTGACCTCCTGCTGCTGAACCCGGCTTGTGACCTGTTATTCTTGTCTACCGTTCTGTACTGTCTGTCCCGTTGTTATCGACCCGGCCTGCACGACTACGCTATTGTCTTATCTGGTTCCTACCAGCTACACGCCATTGGCGGCGGCCATTACCGCAGCTAGAGTGTCTCGGGGGCCGCGACCTGGTCCCTGGCTGCGTCAAGTCCATCCCCACCATCAGGGGCCCTGGTGAAGGGCAGCCTGGGACTTAGACTCCACACCCTGAGGGACTCCGGTCTGTGGGTGGTGGTTGTCGTCAGTCGGTGCGTGACCCTGCCATTAGGCCTGCCTGTCCGTTCCACAGCTCCTGCCCTGGCACTGTTGAGCCGTGAATTATACATTTTTGCAATTTGGGAAAACGTTCACTTCTCTGAGTACTAAAATAAGGAGCCAAACTATAATATAATGAAGAATAGATCTGTAAAAGGC